ACTCGATTCACTATAGTAACGAAAATTCAGTACAGAATCATGCAGCCAAACCAGTGCTACCAGACATTTTCGTCATCTGAATGGATATATATGAGGTGGATGATATATCAAAATCAGTCGAGTAAAACTAAATGTATTTGATCTTTTCCGCTAAATAATAATTTGAAGTGGAGTTTAGCTTGATCGATCAGTATCATTATAAATGCTTAATCTAGTACAGAAGAAACAATAACATTGGAGTGATATCCTCAAAAACAAGATCAAATTAAGCAGGTTTGATTTTTACATCTAGAAGTTTCCTTAAAATATTATATTGACTTAACTGACAAATGTCAATAAGTATGAGTAAGGATGACGCTTGAGATAGCCAAATGCCTCGTCATAGTTAAGTGCGATGATATAAAAGCACAAAGCATAATTAAGTGGTTTTGATGCTGCTAGCTCGGAAAACCGGATATTGTGTTTACAATGGTGGTCGTGGGTCCAGCCTAATTACGTTACGACAGTGAGCCTTCTCATGGCCCCTCCGGGCATCAACCAATCTACCGTCATAGCTGACTTAGCGTTGGGCTCAGTTGACGAGGTCCATGTGTGCAGATCAGTCTGGTGGGTCTAAACAGCTCGGACGGTCTAGGTCTAGGTTTATCTGCTATGATTCCCCCTCAGTGCTCATTTTCTGGTGCACCTAAAAGGTAAAGAATTCAGTTCTTTAATTCCGCTAGTCACCGTTATTTAAGGAATTTTTAGTGGCGGGCGTAGTTCAGATGCCTCTTGGTAATTACTTACTAGTTGGCAGAAAGTGTAACTCTAGCATTTGTCTTCAACACCGGTCTCAACTTTATTATCTCAGCACCAGCAACAGCACACAATCTGGATTGATTTGATTCACTATTATTATAATTATCACCATCGTTGCTACCAGTCATTCCCACTCTATTCCGGGAATTCAGTGAAAAATTCGTTAATACTATTCCGCTTCATATACCAACTGAAATGACATACATATCTCCCCCACATATTCCATTTCCGAAAATTACCGACTTATCTAGTGTCACCTGTGACTTATTGTCTGATATTTACCATCAAGGAGAATATGAATGGTAGCACGCACACACACCAGCCATACAACAAGAGACTTACAATTTCTCACTGAATGACTAATTATCATACTTTAGAAAGACAGTGACTATACGAAGAGGATCGGACAAAGAGATGAAATACACATCTTCGGATTCATTTCTGTATCCCTGATATTTTAATTTTGACTGTTTCCCTGAAGAAGCTCAAACCAGACGTCTGTGCAAAACCCTGTAATTATATCATTTCCAACAAGCTAAGAATTACACAACTAAAAACTACATCTAATGACTAACATGTAAATTATAAAATGTACATAAATAAATGTCAAATAATGCACCGACGCGGTTATTAAACCTAAGGATGAAATGCTTGTGGTCAAATAATAGAGTTCGAAAAGCGCCTAACGCTCGCTACTTCTATCCCAAGATGAAAACTACTCTTCTCTGTACTCGTCACAAGGTGATTCTAATAAACCAAGAAGAACAATAGTAACAAAACTAGCATGAATGTATTTCGTGGATTCTCCTCAGCTACTTTACAACCTTTAGAATATAATGTTTATGATGAACCATGTGTTATGCAACCTACTTTAATAAATCGAAAATAATTTTTATAATTGAGATCGAAGGTAACAAAGATTTCGGTTGGCCGACATTGATGAAGTTGTTAGGACTCCTCAAAGGTTAACTAGTTATAAAGTGTTCGAATGATTATTCGAGAGATGGCAAAAATTTATGTATACATAAATGGGAGGGGGTTGTGCACAATGTTATTCTAGAATGAGTAAAACAAGACGTCATGGTTAAGTAAGTGCAATAAAATGTCAACAGGTTTTCATTATATTGAGAAATGAGATTAATACAACTCAGAAAGTGAAAGTAGGTTTTGAAATAGACAAGAAAATGAAGTGACAAAAACAATTGAGGCCCATGAGGTCGTGAAATCTTGTACTTACAAATTTCCAAGGTGATGCAAGATTGAAAACAATATCTTTTTGAATATGTAGATCAAGTTTTTGTCTTTCAGTTGCATCTTCAGTAAATCGCAGAAGCGGTTTCGGTTGTTTGTTGATCACCTTGAATGACTTTAATACGCTATATTCTATATTACTGATGGATCTTGGCTAACAGTGGAATCCAGGATGCACATTTCGTCTCTTTTGGGACTCGTCAACTGGATATACTTGCTTCCCAGTTAGCGATATTGTTCCCACTGAGATTCTGACTCGGGAGCGATCTTTTCAAACGCCAGAGTGCTGTCCACAACACCATCAAGCCACGATAACTGAGAAGAATCCATGAAATACATGCATGCTAATTCTGCTACTATCGTTCTTATTGCTTTATTCAAGTCCACGAAAGGGAAGGATTGTACGAGGTTCCTAACCAATGTAATTTGGCTCGTAATTGCTGACATTTATCTCAATCTTTCTGTCAAATGCATATTCATGATGATCGTAATTTTTGTGTGAATTCTTTCGAAGTTACATCGCTGTAAAATCTCGTAAAGTATCTCACTGGAAATATCAAGTTTTAGTAGTACACCTTACTTTAATGTAATAGGTTATTCGATATTTTTACAATCAGGCCGAATGCATCTAAACGTTAAAGTATTCAATAATCTTGGAACAGTTTATTGGAATAAAACCATAATGAAGTAATATTTCATCAAAATTAGGCAAAGGGGAAATCTTACCGAATTCAAAAGTTACGAAATCTTTAAATACAAATTTTTATCTTGAGAATGGCACCAATGTTTTTTCAAATGGACATTGTGTAAGAAATCCTATTTACTCTATGTAACTCAAGGTATGAGTATCTTAAATCTGAATAGAGTAGGAACGTATGTGTCTTGCTTAGAATAACAAACCGAACATTTGAAAATAATCAACTACTTATCGTTTCAGTCATACTTGTCAAACCGAACACCAAGATGTTGTATTGACTTTTCCCTTAATTTTTTGTTTCTCATTCACCTAAACATCCAGCCAGATACTTTGTCTTATGGGTTGCCAATGGTTATTCCATGAGCTGCGTTTGCTCGCTCCTCCGCATACACTCATACCCATACATACAGTTCTGGCTTTAGAGAATCGAAGCCATCTGCTAACCGATGAGATGCGTCCTAATAGTATACATCTCCATGCATTCTGTTCATCCGGGGAGCCGAACGAGAAAAAGCACAACTGCTTTGTCCATAATATCTTCCATAAAAGTAAGCAATTCTTTATGAAAGATATTATCGATAAGTACATATTTATATGTATTTTTGAGATGAATGGGGATTTTTAATTTAGACGTAGTATTCATCATGGACTGACATCAGTTGGGGAACCATTGAAAATCTGGGAGCACTACGTGTAAATTAAAAATACATTACTCTAAAGTGCTCATTAGTGACTTGCTTCCAGATAGATGTCAGGAAGCTCTAGTGAGAAACTATGATCTATGGGGTCAACTAGTCGAAAGTGAAGCGGATGCTAACTGAAGACCTTGGGTGATGGTCACGCTATATCGTGGATTGACAGAAGTTGGAAATTGTGAACCACTGGAAACCGACCCAGTGGCTGAATGGTTAAAGCGTACGCCGTGAAACCTGAAGGTCCTGAGTTTGACCCCTAGCCGAGTCGTGTGTGTGTACTGCTGAGGAGTGCCATACTAGGACGAAACAGCTGTCCAATGCTCCTAGGTTTTCAATGGTTCCCCAACTGATGTCAGTACATGGTGAATAATGCATATTTACATATTTGTAAATGATAATATTTTTCATAATCTAGGGCTTAGATATGTATTTGTTGTCAGCAGATTTCAATTTTGTATTAAAAAGTAATCTAATGGTTAAGTTCCTTCTACTCTAGGTTCGGATGAAGCTACTGAATCGTATAGACTTCCGGTCCGCCATGGTCTATGGCATTATATCTCTTGTAGACATTTTATTTTAATGTAGTAGCTGTATAACACTAGTGACGCGATGCTTCTCATGACCCACGTCTATTATTTTGCACAGCATCACAACCTCACTCGGTTAGCTCAAAAGAAAAATATAGTATATATCTGAAAACGCTGGCTTGATACATGATCAAGATTTGTATCACAATCTCCAGTCTTCAACGAAAACTATCCCAGACAGTCCAACTTCATGTTTGTCAGTCACCTTCCTGAACTAATTCAAACCGCTTTGAAGTGAAATGAAAATGCCGTATTGAGTGTCAAGGGTGGTGATTCAAATATGATTATCTATATCTTGTCAATATGGTGGCTTGACAAAACACACTGAAAGTTGATCAACTGTTAGTTGTTTAAATCCAGTCAGTTAGCTCCAGTGCCCACTTGTTTTCATTCCTCGAAAAGGTATTTTGTAACTCTCAGTCACCATTCCTGAACACCTATTGTAAACTTAAATTGGATTTGGTTACAACTAATATTAGACCATAAGCTGAATGCAAGAATAATATCAAAAGTGTGTTGCACTGAAGGAATTAACAAATTTGAAAGCATCAATGTAAACCATGAATACATGTAACCAAAATTATAAAATAAAACATGATGACTTTTTCCTAAATTTACCTAAGTAAACAGAACAAGCCTGAAATCTATCAGTTTTCGCCTATTATTTATTTATAACTAACGAGATTGGTGAGATAACTTAAGTCTGTGTATATTTACATAAATAAGGTCGCTAAGCAATAATAGTTTTCCTAAAGTGTAAATATACTGTCCTGAATTGCTGTATTGCTTCTTATCTAGAGTTGTCTCTTGTTTAGCTTCTTTTTTCTCCTCTAAGTATGTCTTGCATCCAAATTTCCTTTTAGAATAGTGTACATATTAAGTGACCAATGGAATTAGGTGTTAACAATCTTACATTCACCAATCCCAATGCAGAAAATATAATACTTATTGTCATTTCAATTGAAAGGATATATAATTTGCAAACAAACGGACTAAATATAAAATTCCGTTATTAGTCACAAAAAACTAACTAATTCCCTACTTGTCATTCCATGGGTATTATATCAGCATAGTTCGTATTCCTTAAGAAAAGTACCAAGAATAGGATGAAACATAGTCGTTTAATGTTGACAGAAGATTTAAAAATATAATTATCCTCTAGATTATCTGGATAATTCTTCATTAAGGATAAGTCACTAGTTGATACAACTTCAAAGTATGCTTGCATGTGCATGATGCATATATGAAGACAAATCTAATATGGCTGGTTCACGAAGAGGATTAGTAGCTCCACAAAATATATTCCTTGAAACAGTCTTAAGGAGGTTTAGCACTCCACGTAAGTGTTCTTGCTTTTGTTGCTTGCTATTGTTCTATTTCTCAATGTAAACTTTGTCATGTTATATGTTGTTAATCAACCCGTGATGCATACCAACTTGTAATCAATAAAATCCCCACAACCCTCCAAATTAAATTACTTGATGAGATTTCTCGAGGTTCTAATGAGAAGTCGTGAACAGTAGGATAAAACAGTTCGGAGGTTAGGATAGGCACTCAATGACAGCAGTGGATGAAGATCATCTTATAAAGTGAGTTGACAGAAACAGAAAAATATGGACCATTGAACTGCTACCCAGTGGCTCAATGGTAGCTTACTGCCTGCGGAAAATGAAAGTTCTAGATTTGATGCATGATAAGGTAGCAGGTACACTCTGTACAAAAGTCCCATTCTTAGACAAAACATCTGTCCATACCGCGCGGTCTTCAACGTTCTTCAACTTATGCAAGTCCATGATGACTACCAATTAAGTACGTAACTTTTATATTCTCAGTTCTTATTAATACAAAAATATGCGTATTAGAATTAAATAATTTATCGAGTGAAATATTTAAAGATAGGAGATAAAAATCATGTTTCTGAAGTCAGTATCACTTGAAGTTACTATGGTATTATTTGAAACTCTGCTGCATACCACACCTACCCTGTTTAATAAACTACGTTTCATGCCACATGAAAGAGGTAACAAACATTTTCTACTAATGCAATCTCAGTTGACCAGTTCTATGTCCAATTACGTAATGAACCACAAATAGTTGAATTCATGATGATTAATCACATCTAATTTATGGTTGGATTTGATATAAAATGTGTAAAATATTCTGTTTTCACTCTTCTTGTTTGCTACTAGTATGTTATAAAACAAATAATTGTACCAATGTTTCAACACACAGATTTTCGAAATAAAGTCATATTTCATGGTTATATAACTGTTTAGCGTTCATAAATAAAATTCTTCAAGACGGATTCCACGAATTTTCTATCAGAAACCTTGACGTATGTAGTTAACCAAGTCAGGTGTAAGGACAAATACTCATCGATGGCTTTAGATAGTGGTCGAGCTATATAGTTTGATAACAGAAGTAGGAAAATTTTTACCATTGGGTTTCAACCAACTGGTTAAGTGGTAACATTCTGCTGCTGGAACTTACAGTCCTTGGTGGGATCGTGGGTGTAAACTGTTGATGAGTTCCAAAGTGAAACGAAATAGCTTACCAGTGTTTCACATTTTCAGTGGTTCCACAACTGATTTTATTTATTGATAAACGCAACCTTGAAATCAATCAATCTCCACAAATGATTTACTGAATTTCATGCCCACTTTTCCAATAGATGAATAAACGACAATTTCAGTACAATTTTGTATTTTCGACTCATTGCAGTTCAGTACATATTTATTTTACTTCACTAAATTTGAAGACATTCAGGTAATTTGAAATTTTCCCGTGTCAAAGTATACAAGAATGATTCAGCCATATCCGTAGATCCAAAGCATTGTAAGTAGATAAGCAAAAATACTAACGGTTTACCGCGAAGTTAATTTAACGCAACTGCCAATATACCATTTATTATTTTACTTAAGGCAACTGATACACAAAACCTTATCACTATGTTATGCTTGAAGAAGCGCATAGAATATTAAAACCCATTCAGTTTTTAGGCATGACTGGTTACATTATTGAGTATATTGGCAACCTGTTCTACCTTCTGGCATCCGTTCGACCTAACCTTTGTTTCACAGTTGACACTTTTGAGCAGTCAGTCGATATACAGACTCTTTTTCAGTCAACTATTTATCTTCATAGCAAATGCCAAAATTAATTTTAACTGTTTTATTGCATTGTTTATCCCAAAACATCCTAATCTACGAAAGTAGGTGTTTGTACACAGAAGTAGAACTTCTGTCAATTGTTGGAATCAAAAGAATCACAGCAGTACACATACCTTCTCCAACCTGAACATTAGATTGTTCAAAGAAGGTAATTAATCAGATACTATACTGGATTTCAGGACTAAATTAACACCCACATTTTTATCTGTTCAATAAGTTCGTCTACTGAATATTATATAGAATTGGTTATCGTTTCCACTCTTCGATGTTAACGATCAGTGTCTTTGTATAGTACAAGCCTTTTGAGTAAAATAATAGTCTCTGCAAATTAAGCAAACTAATGTCAATTGTGATAAGAGTAAGACGTGAGCACTGTGGTCAACTGCAACTATAATTTAGTTTGTTGGTTTGATGTATCACAAAACAAAACAGTATTATTTAATGAATGTGGTTCCGAACACATTTTATTTTCCATATTTATATAAAGGTCACTCCTCAACTTTGAGACTTAGTTTGCACAGCTCTAGTTCTTTCTTCTTCTTTGGGAGATAGGTAGCAGAATTCTTCGTGTGTCAAACAAGCAATGAGTCATCCATTTTGCTCTTATCTGGTATTAATCTGATTTTTGCTCTGTCATATTCTGTTGTGCAGCCGTGTGTAATTCCGCACATTGCTACATCCGAGCTTTTCTCTAAATTTTTTATCTTATTGGGGTCTGTCAATCTTGATTTAGTTGTCTTTTTGGGCTCGAAAGGCATAACTGATCCTGGTCAATTACTTTATTAGTATTTGACTACTCAATTATTATAAAATATTCGGTAGACTAAATTGCTTTCCTGAAACAGATAAATAGATTTCAATACTACTCTAAACCCAGCACCACATAGAATTCACTAAGACGTTTCTCAAGTTTCTCATCAGTGTCTTACTCCCATAAAGGATTTGAATGCTCCATCTACACTAACGTGGTTGCTGATATTATTAACACCTGTTATCAATACTATTCGTATTTTTTATACAATTTTTTAAGTCTATATGTGGATAATTTTACCGGATTAGTTGTTGAGGCTTAAAGTATCCCCAATATTTTATATTTCTTGCTTAAGATGTTTTATCGTGATGGTAAGCTTTTTCACCCTGTTTCTTAGACATTCCGGGTGAGATGGGCTAAAGTCTAAGTAACGATTTGAATGTGAGGGATTTCAAGGGACATAAGTGTCCTAACTTTCATCTTGTTTTCCTTTTATCCTGAAACCCAGCATCGCTAGCTAGCTTTCATCATTGCGTAATTCAAAAGTAAATAAGACTGAGTTCACTACTGCATTTTTGTGTAAGCAACGCATTTAAGATTTTTGATTTTTGTACTGTAAACGTTTCAAAACCACTATTTCCCAGTAGAAATAAATGTCTCCAAGGCTACCCGTTTCCGACTATCCATGAATGTTTTTCACGGTAGCGAATATTTTGGTGATCTCATGAAAGTTACTTGCATTTTCTTTGATAACTCAATGTCAAACTGAAAGACTCTGAACATTGGGAATAACCATACTCCTAGCATGATTTCCCAAATAAGCACCTAACTCCGGTGTTTAGTCCTATATTCGATCCGTATACCGATGCAAAGGCTAGTTACATCAAAGCTGTTTTAAATGTTATCTGGTTGTCTACCGTTTAACATATGCTTTGATTTTTTAGTAATAGAAATTTCAGGTTTTCAAATGCTGCCAATTGAGGTTAGTTTATTGCTAATTAGTTAGATATCTTTCAAGATTGAATGTTCCCAAAAACCCATGTTATAGCTTTACATCATACGGATAGCTTACAAACTAGAGAAATACTTTTAGCATCAAATACTGAGAACAATCAAATACAACTCGTAACACTAATAGTCATTACTTACAGCCAAATGTAGACTGCGTTTAAATAAATTAGTGATGGATATTTAATTAGTATCACAGTTTTTAGTAGTATTTCAACCATTATCAAAACTTATCAGTGGGTGTAGACACTCAATACCAAATAAATCATGAAACATTTTGTTAGGTTTATAACTTAAAAATGTTTTGTCAGTATGACTAGCCATTAGTTCTGTTCTATGTATCATTCATAGACGAGTACTTAAACTCCATACGTCGTCGTCAATATCTCCAACAAGAAACCTCATCATATTTCGATTTATTGTGAAAAACAAAATAGAATTTATCTCTCAAGTAAAAGTTGAAGACGGCAAAGTTTACTGATTCCCTTCAATTTGAGTAACCACTTAGACTGTGTGACATAAATGAAACATTTGTGTTGTAAATACACACAGCATTCATAATAGGTATACAGCACACAGCGAAACTCTATATTCTATTGAGTAAATCAGGTAGGCTATCAAAAGGGGTCAAGTAATGACTAGAAAAAAAGTATTACAAAGTTCTGCCTCATTTCAACGAAATAACTTGCGATCCAATATTGAAAGCCTTAAAGATTTCAACTTAGGGTACTAACTTAAGAAAAACCACAAATGATAAGAAATGTGGTGAGACTTTCATTTGTAGCCTGGAACACATGTTCAGGAAGTTTACAGATATAGTAGTCAACATGTAATCGACCATTTAGTTCTAAATCCTGAGCTATCTGTGCCTGAGTTATTAGCCTACTACCGGTTGATTGAGTTCTTTCTCATGTAACTTCTCTTCAATTACACGTCCAGAAAAAAGTAAAAGCTACGAAATCTCTAACCTACATACATTTTATTGCAATCTTAGATTTGAACTAGGCAGTGAAAACGTGACTCTAGGAATAGGATGGCATGAAGACAAGAATTTTGTAGACCCCGAAACAAGATAAATATTTCTCACTTCTAAAAAAAGAGTGAAGAATGTCAAGAACAGACATCTATTAATTTGATTTATGGGACAAGCGAAATTCGGATGTTGCAATAACAATTGTCAAGTTCAAAATGACAGGTGGATGACTTTTTTCAATGCATAAGTTGGGCTGAGTTTGTCTGAGAGTACGGCCTTCTGCAAACCAAATCAGAAGCTGAAAGATTCTACCTGATCAAGTTTTTCGATTTCCTTACTTGTATTTATTTGATGTCCTGCACCGACCGTATGTATACTGATTTGTCACATGATGAATTTACTTTGAGTCCCTGAGTTTTGAATACTTTAAAACATGC